CACCTCTAAGTCTGATGTTTAGCACTTCTTGACTTGTAATGGCTAAAAATGAGTTTGAAGCAGATTCTTTTTCATCTCCTTCCAGCTATTAATTTCCAGTACTTTAATTTGTGTTTGAAAAAGCAGTTAAAAGTGAAAGTTCTTGGTCCAGAGTGAGTAATGGTGACCTAGGGTGAAAGGCTCAGGCTCAGGGTAGTTTTAAGACTGTAAATACAGGGCTGGGACACTAATTGTTGATGGCAATGGCTTTTAAGAGAGCCAGAGAGCATAACTGGGGCTGGATTTATAAATCAGGATCATTTCTCAATGGCTCAGCCTAGCTGCTGGTGACCTCCTGGATGGCAGGTCTGACTCTGCAGCCAGAGCAGGCATATTTTGGTGGCATATGGCAAGAACACCAAAGCAGAGCAGAGCAAGTAAGGAAAAGGGAGCAACAGCAGGGGCTGAAACCTCCAGGCTGCCCTGCTAGGGATTCTACTGCAAGGTTTTGTTGCTTTGTTAAAAGTCCAGATGTTTATTCATAAACGTTCAGCGTGTTAAAGATGTGATGATCTCAGTTTCTTCTCATGTCAGATTCTGCTGAGAAAATAGTTATTAGTTCTGGAGGCTACAATGTGCAGATATGGAAAATAAACAAGATGTTAGCTTTTGCAAAAGCGGAGTATACATTATTTCATTGATATATTTTAATTCTTCTAATAACACACTGCTCTGTTATGAGACCAATTAGATACTTGAGTAGATAAAAGTAAAAATGTTAATTATCTTGAATGTAGTTGAGTCTGATATAAACTTATTGCTGTGTACATTGATTGGTGTATAGTTGGTTCCCCTGTTACAATGTAATATGTTGACTTTCCACATTTAAGAGGATCATCGCTAAAATGAGGTCTTCATAGCTGAGTCCGTGCTGAAATGTTGGGTCTCATTTGTTTTATTTTATTTTTGTTACCTCCAAAATCTATAAAATGAAGTGAAAATCTGGTAGGAAATGGGTGATTCCTGGGCAGTAGTGGCCAAACCATAAACTATGGGTGGATTTGAAGAGAGAATTATGGGATGGGAAAAGAAGACCTTCTGGTGGAAATGGAGCCAGACTTGGCTGAGCCAGGCAGGGTCTCAGAAGCCAGTGTGGTGGTGGAGGAAACTTAGGTGTGTGTGGACACTGGCTGGATGGGGCTAAGGCAAGAGGAAGTGAGGCTAAGTCTGAATTAGGGCCCTGGATGAGAAATTCTAAACCTTGTTTGGATGGCAACTAGAGCCTGCAGGTCCTTAGTGTGAGTAGGAGAAGATTCAGCAAGTGTATCCAGAAAGACCCTGAGGAAGGAGGCACGATGGGCTGGACTGTGAGGAAGCCCCCCCAAAGCTAAAATGAAACCTGGGAAATTATGGTGAGTAGCGCTTCCACTGGACAGGAGAAGGCATTTCGATTTGAGAAGTTTTCTGCAAAAGATGTGACAGTAACATGATAAATGTAAAAGTCCACAGACGTTTTCTCTAAAGTGTGAGCTTTTGAGGCTTATGAGAAACATCAGCTCTTTGGGTCAGTCTCCAAATAATCCTAATGTGAGGGTAATTGCAGCAAAGACATGTGAATACAAATGGTCACACATGACTGAAGGACAGTGGTTTGCCAGTCCCTAAAAAGAGATGGAAAAAACATGTTTAGCTTTAGAGAATAAAAGTGCAGATTAGATAACACACTGGTAACTTTGTAACCAAAATTTCGTTTTACCCATTCTAGACTTTATTTCCCTTGGAAGAATCTTGCAGTTACCACCCTTTCTTTTAAATGATGGGAGACACTTGTAATAAACATCCAACATGGTCCGACTCACCTGTTCTTATTTTCCTTAAATAGAACTCAGTGCAGGCAGTTGGACCCCAGTCTGATACACAGTGGCCTTGTCATTTACATTGTGTAGCTGTGGAAAATGTCATGCAGAAACTTGAGTGAAGTTCTTCTCAACAGCAGCAGTTCATTGAAGAAATGAGCTGTTCATGGTAGAGGACAATTCCAGTCTGTCCTGGGTTTTACTTTCTTGCTTCAGCTCAGAAAATGAGGGTCAGGATCAAAGGTGCAGGTACAGGAAAAACTGGGACTTGCAGGGTGAGGTGCACAGCTCTGGCCTCCTGAGTGCCTTGCTCTTTAGAGTATAGTTGATGAGTGAGAAAAGGATGTCAAGAGACAAACCAAGCTTGGAGCAGGAAAGGGAAAGCCTAGGATGTCATGACATAGAACATTAGGACTGTTCTTATGCTCAGAGATGGTGGCTTCTTTCTGTAGATACTCTCTGTAACCTGCCTTTAACACAAGCATTGCCCTCAGTACAATACCTGTATACACTAGTACTTAACATATGTATTCCTCTAGGTGTTTATATTCACGTAGTTTCTTTTACTCAGAATTCCCATTTTGTTTTCTAGTGCAATGTGGAGCTAGCTCTCTCTGATGGTGACTTCACTGTTATAATGGCCCTGCTAGTCTTGGACTGGGGATGCCTAATTAAAATTTATTTATTTTATGATCATGTGTGTGTCTAAGTGGATATATGTGTACCTCATGATTATACCCATGGAGGTCAGAAGAGGGCTTCAGATCCCCTGCAACTGGAGTTACAGGCAGTTGTGAGCTGTTTGATGTGAGTCCTGCGACCAGAACTGGGATTTTTTTCAACAGCAGCAGGTGCTCTTAACCACAGAGCCTTCAGCTCCTTGGGCTGAGAATTTAAACCATTTTCATCTACATAGATGGGAAGAAGAGGTGGTGATTGCAAGATTCTTACAAGGGAAACAAAGTCTGGAATTGGTATTTTTGTTTGTTTGTTTGGATTTAGTATTGCTAGCATTTTTCTTGTTCTGCTTCCTTTTTTTTTTTTTAAATTCCAAAGCCTTATATTTTCAGAATTTCCAATGTGTATGTGTAGAAATGTGATATATATGTGGGTGTTGTGTGCACCTGCGTATGCGCACATGGTCTAGAAGGGGACACTTGTCTTGCTCTCTCATGCTCTGAATTATTCCTTTAAGATGGGCTCTGTCACTGACCTAGATCTAGACTGGTGGCCATCTAGCCCTGTCTACATGCTGTCTATATCTGCTATACCTCAGAGGTCACAGATATGTGTGGCTATACCAGGCTTTTTATTTGGGTGCTAGGATCTGAATTCACATCCTCATCCTCATGCCTACACAGCAAGCTCTTATATATGTACACACACACACACACACACACACACACACACACACACACACACACATACACACATACACACACACCCACACATATTGTAGAAATTGGATTTCTTAGAGGTCATACAGAGAATAATCAGAAGTAATTCATATATACATTCTCAGAAAATGATTCTAAAACTTGAACTTGTAACTTCATCTGGAAAATTACTGTTTTTTTTTTTTTTTAATTTTTTTCTCTCTAATGACAATTCTCTTGTATATCAAAATGACCTTTTTATAGAATTGGCTTCTCTTTTTTTAAATTTAAATTTTTGTCATGGGGGGGGGTGGCGGGCCTTGCATGTGTCGTGCCACATACATAGAGATCACAGGACAATTCTGTGGGGTTGGTGCTCTTCTCTTTCCTTTATGTGGATGCTGGGGAAGGAACTCTGCTTGACAGGTTTTCAGGGCAAACACTTTTACCCAGTGAGCCCTCTTGCCTGCCCCAAATTGGCTTCATGAGGAATTGTTCTACATTTTCAGACTTTGGTTGGGCTTTGAAAAAACGGGTTTTCCCCAAAGAATAACACAGGATGTGTATGATCTTGCTATTCTCTACACCATGGCCATGGTATGACCAAGTGTCTTAGTAAATATTGATGAGTATCAACTTCTGCAGCACCTGTTGCTCCCTGTTTATGTTGAAAATACTTCACATCAGTGGGTGGGGTTTTTAAAAAAAAAAAGAAAGAAAATACTTCACCTCACTTCACAGATACCTTTCTTTTTAACTCAGTGACTGGGATGGAATGTAGACTGGAAGATTGTTACTCTACCTGGAGAGATGGCAGGCAGATAGGTTAGGTGGTCGCTTAGTGGTTACTACACTTGGTTCCTTTGGCTTCTTGCTGCAGGACAACATCCTGTCTTCCATCTAGGCAAACCCATAACATCAGGGAGCTGGAACAGGTTTCTCCCCTCTGACTTCAAAGAGCCCTTTCTCTGTTTCACTACTGAATGATCTATCTTATCTTATCATCTGTAAGTACCATAAGGCTCCTAAACCAGTAGCCTGGGGCTTGCACACTATGGGCACACTTGCCTAGGGACTGAAGGGATTTTGAGCAGAGTGCAGAGCCTTGCCTTTGTATTCCATGGGCCTAGCACATGAAGGGGTGCTTACTGTATGTGCAAATCAATGTGTGAAGAGGAAAACAAAATGAGGACCTTGGCCATGTCTTCCAGTATGTGTTGCAAGCCTGAGTTCCACCACCACCCTCTTGTCCTTTGAGGAATACCCTACCACAGAACTGAATTCACATAAATAATAGGCAGGTGAGACATGATTGACGGTTTTCTAAGAGTTGGGTGTGTGTCTGGTAAGTGGCTTGTCTGTGTGGGTCTCTGCTGATGCATAGAGTTGGAGGCCTCACTGGGCTGGAATATGATAGTCCCTTGTTCATTTTTCCCCAAGGCTACTGAGGCCATACAAATCAGAGCTAGCACTGCTCATTCACACACAGGATGGAGCAGGAGAATGAGAGCCAGCTGGTTCAAGTGCCCCACAGTCCACTCAGAATGCCTGGATTCTCAGCAAAGAACAAATGAAAACGGGGAAAGGAGGGACAGACAAGAAGAATGGATTCCAAGATGAAGACTTTGTATATAAACAGGCAGTTAAGAAATATGGAAATTTCCCTGAAGGAAGAAATGAAGAGAATAAAAGCAGTTGTGGGATGAAAAATAACCTATAAATTATGCTTAACTAACTTACTGAATAAATATAAATCATAGTTACATAAAATCATTTTATTTCATTATGCTAATGTTGATAAATTTTAATTTTCAGGTGTACATGCCTATAAACCTCAAGGCTCTTAAACACACAATAATCAAAAAGCTAATTAATCACTTATGGGCAACTTTCCCAAGTAACTATAGAAACAGTTACAATTAAGAAATAATGCCCTATCCACAAAGAATAAAAATATATGCTCAGACAGGAAACTTCATTATAAGCTACAAAGAAAAACAGAAGGATTTTGTTTCCTACATTATCTAATGTTTCCAAGTGTGTTTTAGGAGAAGGGGAAAACAAAGAGGAGTTTGGCCACGAGTATTGCGGGATGTGTTCCAGACCTGAGCTCCACCACCACCTTCTTGTCCACGGGAGCTGACTCACAAAATAAGTAATTGGCAGATAAGGCATGATTGACTGATGCAGAGAGTCATTTCAGAGGCCTACATCGACTTTTTGTCTGTCTGTCTTATTAAATCTGTCCTCTTTGCTCTTTGCAGACCATCAAGTCTTTGTTCTTGCATGTTAATTTTAACTGTTTGTTCTAGATCCTCACGATGTAAAAGTAAGATAAACAGGGTTGTCATTTCTTTAAGTATTGGTTGAGAGCCATAAATAAAATAGGGATAGATCAGGACCAGATACAATGCAAGGGATCTGTGGACAAGCATGTATATTCATCAATCAGACCCTTTGCAACTTGCAACAAGTTTCAGAAAGCCCTCTTTTCATTTTGTGTTGATACTATAAGGCTAATTCTGCAATAAGGGACAGTAAAGGTAGGCTATTAACATTCTTTAGTTTTAATAGTCAAAAGCCCAACTGAAGTAAAAAGTGAAAGGGGGTGGGGCTTGATTGCTTTCATAAAAAGAAGGTCCATGGTGTTGGCTTGCTTACGATGCAGCTGAATCCAGTCCACATAGCTAATTAGTAGTAGAGTCAATGTTAGAATTGACCTCAAGTTTTTTCACTCCCAAGGCAGTTCTCTGTCTATTATATTGTGCTACCCTTACACTATTGCAATCAGTATCAGAAGAATTAAAAGCGAAGTAGAACAAGAACATGCCTTGTCTTAGGTTCCCAGTGGTCATATATGATGATTTTACCTCTTAGGACCTGCATCTTCCTCACTCTTTAAGGAAACTAGCAAATACCCTTGGCTCCTTCATGAAGAAGATCATTGCTTTGTACCCACTGTGTCTTCAGCTGATGATGTCCATCCATTTGTTCATTTCTTTACCCATTTTTTCTAAAGACGTGACTTGGGACCTCCTGGGTTACAGATACTGTGCGAGGCATTTGGGAAGCAGATATAAGGGATACACAACTGCAGATAAAGATGGCCAAGCAGGGCACATAACACATCTGTTGTTTCTTTTCATTTGGTTTCATTAAGAAATGAATGTGTTCATTCTTTTCATCAGCAAATAAGAGGTTCACACTGAGGATCCAGTAGGAGGCATAGTAGGCATCAATGTTGGGCATGAAAAAGTAGTCCAGATATGGAGAACTCCAGACAGTTGTGTGTGGCAGAAGCTGGACCACAGACAGTTGAGTGTGGCAGAGGCTGGACCACAGACAGTTGAGTGTGGCAGAGGCTGAACCGCAGGCAGTTGAGTGTGGCAGAGGCTGAACCGCAGACAGTTGAGTGTGGCAGAAACATCACTTGGGAAGATGCAGAGGGTAGCTGGGTTCAGCCATCAGCTCTGCTGGGGGTCTCAAAGGCTTGACTCATCACCACTCTCCAGCTTTCATTCTCTAGTAGCTATGTAGGTTGGGTTGCCAAGAACAGGGACTGGAGGCTCAGAAGTCAGAGATTATGGGGATATTTCCTGGAAAAGGATGGAGACTAGTAGTCTGTTACTGTGGAATTAGGCTCAGGAGACAGAGGTCAGAATGGGGTAGAATCAGTGACTTGTTTAGTAAGGGAAGGAGTAGATTCCAGGGTAGTTCTGGGTGCTAGGGTGGCCAGTGAAATCAGTAGCTAAGACTAGAACTCGGTAAAGAAGCAGAGCTTTGCCTCGTGTTTGCATTTACCTGGAGCGGTGCCCGATTCAGAGTAAGGCTTCTATAAACAGCAATGATTATCAGATATTATAGAACAAGTAGTTAATGGGAATCTATCGTAATTCGGAAGGCCATTGAAGAACACCCCCAAGAAATGCCATTTGGCTGAGGGTTGAAGAATGACTTGAATTAGCCATGGAAGATACATTATGTCATTTGTGACTAAAATGCTACCCATGATGCACCTATGTTGTTCTCAGTACTGCCTCCCCCAACCTCTCCCTGGCTTTTCCTCTTGGCCTTCTGTTCCAGAACCTCTTCTGTATCTAGGGAGGCAGTGGGTTGAGATTGTCATAGTAACGACTGTTTATTACCCAGTTGTGTTTACCAGTCTCTTTTGCCGCCCTCAAGCACAGAAAATGAACACTAAGTCCTTGGAATAACTTGTTGTCTCAGTCAGTACTTAGGTCCTGAACAGAGACCTGCTGGGTTTCCAGAGCGTGGAAGGCTTTATGTGCTATTACACGTTCTAAATGTTCAAAACCATTTTTTTAGAGAAAAAAAATTTAATTTAATAAAAAAAAACAAAAAAACCCAAAACTGTTTAGTGTCTGGAGAGATGACACAGTGGTTAGCACTTGCCGCCCTTACAGAGGCCCCAGGTCTGGTTCCCAGCACTCACATGGCTCATAACCACCTATAACTCAAGTTCCAGGGAATCAGAGGTCTCCACAGGTACCAGAAACACATATGGTGCACATTCATACATGCACTCCATAGCACTCATACACATAAAATATAATTTTTAAAATATATCCTAGTCAAAATAAATATGCTGTTGAATCCCTTCATGTGGTCATCTGCATGCTTTCATGGTATACAAGGTTTGAGAGTGATTATAGATAAACAAAATACATAGGGGGAAAACAAAAAGTGAGTGTGTAAATCAGGACCAGAAAAAGGTAAAAGATAAATGGAATCTAGTAATGTTCCAGGTATGATGTGACTTCTGAAATAATTCTGTGTTGCAAATTCACGAAATATTCAGCCAGACTCAAATGAAGCACAAGTAATCTGCTAGCCATCTAATTAAAACAAATTACATGGCTGAAATTCTTCTCAACCAAGTACACATTCTTTAATGGAAGGAAATGCATGCTAGAGGAACAGTATATATACAATCCCCCTCCCCTCTCTCCTCTCAGATGTGGGGAGCTGAGTCCTATACACTCTACAATAGTAACTGGGGATTGCATAGTTTTATCAGAGAGGATTGGTGGCATTGAAAACTCAAAACATATATGAAATGTTACTATAAATATGTTCAATTATCAATTTTAAATTTGGAAATTCTGAGCTTAGGGAATCACCTAATAGTTGGATAAAACTCTTTTTGCTGGAACACAAAGGAAAGAAAATTTCAGTTGCAAAGTCACTTTGCATTGAGCATCTTTACCTGACACCACCTCCAACTCCTGCCAAAGGTTCCAGTACAGAATAATAATCAGCATGCCTGTGGGGATCATCCCCAGAGGCACTGTGGACATCATTAGTCAGTCCTCCTTATTGTAATATACGTGAGAATGCAATAATTTGCAAGCTATAAAACTTAAGATTGTGTATTTCCTTGGCAGTAGTAATAATAGTAACTTTGTGATTATTACACATAGGTGGTGCTACTCAGGATGCAAATGATAGACAATAAGAAAGAGAGGTACTCAGGACAGGTGAGGGCTCCTCAGGAATTCCTCAAGGAGTCAAATACCCACATGCAAAGAAAGACTCAGACCCTAGCATGGTATTGGAAACTCTTGGGAGAGTGCCAGTGAAACCTGATTGAATATTTGGTTTTGTGTGTGTTTTCTACAGTGACAAGTTTTTGAATTCATATTTTTACACACCTGTGGCATTTAAATTAAATGTATAATTTAGCACACCATTTTAAAATAAAAAATAGAAATGAAATAACTCTGTAGTAGATTTGTATTCAGTAGCTTGAGTGGTATTAATTACATTTGGCACTGCATTCAACTTGGAGAAGCACAGCCTTATGTATGTAATTTAGTTTGCTGTCTGTGTTAGTCTGGGTAATTAAGCATGAGCTGCTGTGGCAGGAAAAACACAAACTTCTCAGAATCCCAGTCACTTAGCACAACAAATATGTATACCCTGCTCTTGAAAATGCTAGATGAGTCAGCAGGGACCAATTGATAACTCAGCAGTGCAGGCCTGTTCCACACTGTAACAGTGCTGTTCAGCCAGGTCCTCGGTGAGGGAAGAAGCACTTTGGTGGCATGGAAGTGCAGAAGTGCCTCACACCACAAGTGACCCATGTCCTCTCACACCTACTGTATGGCTAGAAATATAACACGGCTCTAGGAGGATCAGAGAATGTAGCACTCTGAACTTTGACTGAATAGAATGTTCTATGCCGTACCGTCCTGACAAACAAAATTCAGTAGTATGGATGATCTGTAGTTTGTGGGCTCTTTTTGGTTAACATGGGTAGTTGATGTAACCATATGAGCCAAGTGGTGAGGTAGAAGCCTTAAGTGACTAGACTGTGGTGTCATTACATCTTCACTAAATTTGTATTCATCACTTAATTTTTTAACCTGTTTTCTCCTCATTCTTAAGGTAGATCAGATCTTAGAGCACTTAAAACTCCAGAATTTAAATCTATTGTATTCAAGCTTGAATTAGAGGTATAATATTATCACAGATGTGTAACTGAAAGAGAACCTGTGAAAGCACTGTGCATGTTTAGAATACAACTTCACATTTTTAAATTAACCTTTGATATGTTTATTTAGAAGTGGCACATGATTTTTTTCTGACTCCATTGTATTTAAAACAGATTCATTTGCCTGCTGCTATATACAAGATTTTGTAAGAAGCTTGAAATATAAATATGAGCAGATGCAGTAGGATTTCATTCTAGAGATGCTGGAATTGTGGTGTTAGAGACAGAAGTATAAACCGGCCTATACTCAGTCAGACACCATGATGGTGTTCTACATGAGGATGGATGGAGTGTGATTCACAGGACATGGCATAGCTAGGAATTAGGAAGGATTGTCTGAGCTGAATCTATAATAATGATTATGAGACAGTCTGAAGAGGAAAACTAAGTCCTGTAAAAGGTTGATGTTTGTTGAAATCCATCAGGTATTTGCTGGTGTTCAAGATGCCTTGTCCAGCCTCAGAGGCACTGGTCAGGTGTTGCTGTTGAGCTCTTGAATGGGGCTAGTTCAAGGACATGGAGATTCTTGGGGTTGTTTCTGAGCCATTTATTTTCTCTGTACCTGTTTAAATGGGAGAAAGTTCAGTGTGAGAATTTTGAAGTTTGTACATCTAGTTGATGATGCAGTGCCAGTCACTGGAGCACAGGCTAGGATGCAATCTCTGGTGGGTATACATGAAGGGTTGTAAAGGGGCAGTGATGCTAGCTCTGCTGACCTGGAATTGGCATTTGGAGAAAACTCACTCTTGGGTTTCAGTTTTTGGTGACTGGTGGATAGTTGTGTTGCAAACATTTTCATTTGGGAGAAACAATAATTTGATATGACTTAATGTATTTCAAAGGAGTTTAGAGTAGGTAAGTCTGTGATGCTCAGGGAGGTCAGAGCTGGGCAAACCTGCAACTATTCTACACATGGGAAGATTTTACATTATATTTAGATTTTAGATTATCAGGAGGGAATATGATGGAAAAATATAGAAAATAGAAATGGTTGTGTGAGGAAGGTCCATACTCAAGGAAGGGCCAGAAGGAGCCCATCCAGGATCACCAATTTTTAGGATAACTTATTAAAAGATAGTATTTTTATTAATAGTAATTTAAATGTTGTTTCCATCAAGTAAGGAATATATATTTTATTACTTATAATTTTAATATTAATACTTATAAATCATAATTCCTAATAAAAACTATTCTTGATTTTCTTACTTTTACTAAGACATTTAATTCCTAATAATATGTAAGGGTTCCTGAAGTAATCAAATTTTATAGCAGATGTATCATTAGCACTTTGAATTTTTTTTCAATGTTGAGAGGATTTTTTTTAATTAGTAAGGATTGATATAATACTTGCAGTGTTTTATGGGACCATTTTTATACCAAAGCGGAATGTCTATTTCATGGTAAAATTTTACATCTAAAATGTAATGCCTGAGATTACATAGTACATATAAAAAATCATGGGAAAATCCATTCAAAAGCTCTGAACAGATGGTAACAGGCTCTTGCCTTGAATAATGAAGGTTTGCTATTGCATTGTGTTATTTACTTTTCTCGGTGGTGTGTCAGTAAACCTGACAAAAGCATATGAAGGGAACAAGGATTTGTTTTGGCTTGTTGTTGAAGAGAGTACAGTCCATGGAAGCACAGGAGTGCAGACAGGGGGTTGTGCACCTGGGAAGGCCCTGAAGCAAAGGAGAGGACACACACTGGTGTTCCACTTTTCAATCAGTCTAGAGTGCTAGGTCATAGGATGTGGCTCTTCACATTCTGGGTGGGAATAATCTCAGACATGCTCAGAGTTACGAGTTTTAAGTTATTCCAAATATGGTCAAGTTGACAATAAAGATTATCTTACATGAGTCCATATTGAGTGTGGGAGCTGTACATTGTCTAAACAAAGCCAAAAGAATGATGCTGTCTGTATCAGAAGCAGTGGACTTCCTGAAGCTAGCCTCAAGGGACTGCTTTAAAGATAGCAAAGGGTTTGTCACCATTCGAGAGTTTTTGTTTATTTATTTTATCTGTACGGATATTTTGCCTACATGTATGTCAGTTTAACACATGGGTAGTTGGTGTCTGCAGAGTCCAGAAGAGAGCATTGGATCTCCTGGGACTGAAATTATAGACAGTTCAAGTACCATGTGGATGATGGGAATTGAACCTGGCTCTTTTGGAAGAGCAGCTATTGCTCTTTGCTTTCTAGCCATCTTTCTAGGCCATGATTAAAGAGCTTAAAACACATTCATTATTTTAAGAAAGAGGTTCTTGTTATTATGTAAGAGGAAGTGGAAAGAATATAAGAGCCAGATGTTGGGGAGAATCAGAGAGAAACAGTATCTTCTAACTTGACAAAACTATTGCATTCGTGAACTCACATGCACACAAGATCTAGCCAGCTAACATTCCAGCTTGGAAGGGAGTGGGGCACCTCAGTTCCAACCCCTAGTGGAGAAGCTATTGACAGTTGTTGGCTTCTGGAGGAGGGAGAGTCATTTTCCTCTAAGCTTGTGACGACCTTCAGTTGTCTGGCCATGCTTTAGTGGATGGCCCCATACCC